TTACACACACTGCTTGTCGGCCGTAAGCGTTACATTATTATGGATAAGACAAAGATAACGATCCTGATCAGTTTATAAATCTGTGTACGCTGTTTTTACTTCTTAAACTTTTAAAATACACATTTCGAATAGAAAGAAATAATCTTCCTGGTACAGTATGTATAGCAAACCAGCACGTCTTTTTTTAATTAAAAAGACTTTGATGCTTAAAATGTTTAGGGAGAAATGGAATACTGGTGTGTATTTTTTCTTTAAAGTACCGAGATCAGCCATATACTGTATGTTTATGTTCCAAAATTAATATCGTTTATGGCCTTCACACGTGTTACAGTATGCTCATATTCTTTTTATGCTCAGCTACTAAGATTTCCCTTCAGTGGTAAAATTCCATATAAATATTCAATGCTACAACGGGCACAGTAAAGACGTTTACTGTAAATCTTTCTACGACAGACCAACGGACCACGAGTGCCCCTGTCGGTCAACCAATCACGTACTGCGGTACTGCGCGTCATCGTTCGTCACAATGCGCTACACCATAGCCAATTACCTCCGGTACGTGTCTGTACCGCGCACTTTGAATGGCTGCATCGGTACCTTGTCCTGTCCCTAGTTTCCTCTGCTTTGCTGTCCTTCCAGTGTCTCTCTCTCTGGGGCTATATATTTCTGGGTCACTCATTCCCCTTTCCTCAGCATTGATGTTCGGATGTCCTAGACCCGCCTAGCACCAGGTCGCCCCACGTCCACTGCCTGAGGGCATTGGTTTCTATATGACTCCTGAACTGCTGAGCCCAAGCAAACCCCCGTCCCCCCAGTACGCACGTCTTTTTCCTGTCTCCTGCCATTCCATGGTTCATCCCGTTCTGACATCCGTGACACTAAACAGGAACAAAAACAGGACTGCTAGACAGGGAGTAAAGGAGGTGAGTGGGCTGCATGGAGTAGCCCACAGTCCTGCAGTCCTGGTCGACAGAAGCTGCCACCTGGAAGGGAGTCCAGCAGGAGAAAAGTCCAAGGTGTCTAGGGCAGAGACTGGTTCAGAGGCTGTGGTGCACAGAGAAATCCTAGAGTGGAGTGGAATTGGGAATGGAGAAGCAGAGAGCCCTGAGATCCTGGAAAGTAAAAACTGCCTCCTATATGTGGGGCGGAACCACAGGGAAGGGAGGCCTAAAATAGCCCGGGGAATCTAGGAAGAAGGTCTGGGATTGCCTCGCAATCAAGAACAGTGCTGAGTGAAGTCCTGGAACTGGAGTAATCTGGTTTTTAAATAGAGAAATTGAGTAAGTAGGGAGCGGAATAATTGTTAATTAAAATGGTTTATGCAGCAAGCCCTGGAAAGCCTTGAGTCCTTGTGAGAATGCGATGGTTTCCCAGGGCAACCACTAGCCGACAGACGTCGTGTGAGAAGCGATCATAACAACAAAGTGTTGTAGACTCTGTCCAATTATTGACATTGCAGGAAGGCATAAAAGCTATACATCATCTTAAACAGAACAAATCAAGTTTTAAAGATTCAACAACTTTAATTAAAAACTTAGTCCAGATGCTTGAACCATGCCCAAAGTCTGACCAGTTAAGTCTGACCTCCAGAAAAAGGCTAGATACTGTATTGTCCTTCTTCAAAGCTGAAAGTATATTGTTTCTCCTTGGATGGGAAGCAAGTCACAGAATTAGCCACAGTAATGCTAGAACCCTTTTTTTATACAACTACAAAGCTGCATCAGCTGTGATACATTTCCTGGTCAAATATATGACAGCAGTGCGTATAGAGAGGAGGGGACTCAAACCCTACAATATTATGTGTTTTAACGTTCTATATTACACACTTTAAGTATAAGTATAAGTATGAGAGCAACTCATTGAATTCGTTTTATTCTGAATGCAGTTTTTGCATACTAATTTTGGTAAAATAATTACTGTTTTTATCATTATTAAATTTTAGAAACACCATCATAAGATTAAGTAGGGATGGTACTGGTGAATATTCTTCACTATGATACTCTAATAGTTTCCTCTCTTTTCATGTTATTTCCAAAACATCCAATATAAATAAAGAACTTCACGCTGGAAAAAAACTAAGTACACTGATTTTGGAATATTAAAAAACTTCCTATACATGACTACACACATTGTTTAACTATTTTATAACTGGAAAGTTGCATAACCTGCGTTGGTATAATATCATGGAAAATCCCCAAGACCGGCTCAGATCTCTCAGTGGTCTGTGGGAACAATGGTTCCCTGAGAAACACGTAACAGGCTGTCATCCCTCATGATCATCTGGAGGGAGCCAGCAGTCGGTCTTTAACATGCCCACCCCTGAAAGCTGAGCTCCTGATAAAAATGTGGATCCCGTCTCTTCAGGTGTCTGAGGTAGGTGGAGAGAAGGAGCTGAGATCAGCCATGATCGGAAAGACTGAACCGACTATCAGAATACAACATTTTTTGTTTGAATGAAAGACTAATTTGGCTATAACACTGGTGATCTGTCGTTAGTCCATAGGTTTGAAACAATATAAGTTTAATAACTACTAACCACATCACAGAATTTCTTCAGGTCCTCTAATGGTCAGCTCTGTTACTCCACTCAGCATCCATACAAGGCTACCCACAAATTCTCTGGCACCTAGGCCTTTGTCTCTTTGTCAGCCATACCATTAAGGCTCTTCCTCCTGCCAGATCCTTCATGCATGCAAAATGTGGCCAAGTACACTCCCTTCTTCCAGCTTTTCCAAATCGCAGGGTACCCCTGAGCTCCCTCCTCAGTTATCCCTCAGGCGTGCTTTTCCATTTCTCACCCCCTCAGTCTGATCTCTCCTCTGACCTGATCATGGGCATCGCACTGTGGCCGCCAACGTTAAGGCTACAGCAATTGTACCTGATGACACACCTTCTAAAGGTTTTGGTGTTTTTTATAGAGAAAAATGCTTTACCTGGCCTCTTATTATATTATATAATATTTTAAATTCCCTCTTCCCTATTGCCATTACCAAACTTATTTGGGCTGATGACCTTCATTTGCCAGCCATACTGAGGGTTACTACTGAGGTGCTCGAATTCTAGGGTTCTATTTGTATCCTGTTTACACAGTACTTGGCAATGCTCATATTATTGGTTACTCTCATCAAATTTCTTAAATTTATGACCCCAGAACATTTATATGATAATGTATTTATTTTCAAAGAAAGCAAAATGGAATGAAAATAAAGCAGCCAGCAGTTATATCACCCTGCAACTCGCAACTGGCAACCCACTGAAGGTAAGCAGGTGTGAGCCTGGTCAGTACCTGGATGGGAGACCTCCTGGGAAAAACTAAGGTTGCTGCTGGAAGAGGTGTTAGTGGGGCCAGCAGGGGGCACTCACCCTGTGGTCCATTTGGGGCCTAATGCCCCAGTGACGGGGACGCTGTACTGTAAACAGATGCTGTCCTTCGGATGAGATGTAAAACTGAGGTCCTGACTCTCTGTGGTCATTAAAAACCCCAGGGCATTTCTCGAAAAGAGTAGGGGTGTAATCATGGCCTCCTAATAATCCCCATCTATGAATTGGCTTCATTACTCTGCTCTCCTCCCCACTGATAGCTGATGTGTGGTGAGCGTTCCGGCGCACTATGGCTGCCGTTGCATCATCCAGGTGGATGCTGCACAGTGGTGGTGGTGGAGGGGATCTCCATTACCTGTAAAGTGCTTTGAGTGGAGTGTCTGGAAAAGCGCTATATAAGTGTAAGCAATTATTATTATAAATTATTAAAGGTATTAACGGATTTTCTTTAAGTTACAGTTTTTACTTTAGCTCATTCATTTTGGTCTGTGTGAGTGCAGGAAAGTAACTTCACAAAAAGTGAAGGATGAAAACAGGAGTATCCTTAATTAAGTGATTTGGAATAAATCAAGAATGACTTCAGAAAACAAATTACTATTCAGTCTTATGAAATCAAAATTATATGTGCTTTCAGCGCAACATGTACTATATGCAGTGTCATAGAATTGTATAATTGAATTGTTCTGATTTAGATTAATGACTTTCTTGGGTCCAGTAATTTGGTGCCACCCAAGATAGGACACAAATCAAAACAGATGAGACTATTGATGAGATTACTGGTTTTATTTTTATATTTTTTGATTAAACATTTCAACAAATTTAAAAAATAGGTGTTCTTACAAATCATTCTATTAATTAAATTTTATTTTACTTATCCGAAAGCATTTTCGGTTTGCTTTCTACTTATCAGTTTTACTTCCCATTTCTTTTAATCAAAAAAAGTTCTGAGCTAAACTTCAAAGCTGTAAATTGCATTATGGTAATTGTTTTAGGAAAATCCCCTGCTTTGCAAATTCCAGGGAAAATACAGTGACGAGTGATGGGAAAACATGCAATACAGCCTCCCGCTATAAAACACGGAAGTTTCACTTATTCCCTTGCTTACAGTTATCTCTACACCAGACAGCTCCTAAGGTAAGTTTATTACTTCTCATGTACTCTTCTCGTTGGTGAGAGTAAATTCTAGAAACAATGACATGCCTTCAAATAACAGCCAAACAGGTTGAGAGGTATTGTTTGTACAAATGTTAATAACCAGGAACAAGTATAAATTCTAATACTGTTAACGATGCGTGTGTTTGTTAGAATAGAAAAGAAAATGCTATAAAAATTATAAGATACATTTTAAAAGTATTAGGAAGAAAATAAGAAACCATGAAATAATGTAAAAGAGAGCATTTCAGCCAATTAAGTTAATTTAATTTAAATGAAAACCTTTTAATGCAACCTGACAATTATAACTCATCAGCATGTCTAAGCTATATATTGTCTGTAACAAACTCTATATAGTTTTGTTTCTTAAAACCACTCATAGATTTTTCAGAGATTTAAATGAAACTAATAATTCTTAGCAGAGTATAATTTGTTTCTTAAGAAACAAATTTCAGTGTTTTAAATAGAGGTTTAGGAGAAAGACATCCCCAAATTTCATACACTTCACTCACCTTGTAAAAAGTCTTGAATTTCTTTGAACCCCTTCCTCAATGCCATCATCAACCTCACAGCAGGTCTTTGGTTTATTGTACTAACTGGGGTGTTCACTGGTCTTCCCTATGGCATGGCTGTTGTTCCCTCAGTTGGAGTGGTTATGTTAACCAACCTAAATCAATTCACTCAACTTAACAACTTAAAATAATTACTGTACCTCTTTATTCTGCATGTTTTTGCATCACCTAAACTATGTAAACGTAATACAGTATATTGTACTTAATTTATTTTTGAGTACGAACTGTAACAATTATCTCATTTGTTAAATTCACTGGTTTTGTTTTTCTTTCTCTCTCGTCATACCAGCTTTACGGGTATCATTTACTAAAGTTTTCATTTACTGGCAACTGGGATTGTGCAATTGCTTTTCTTTTGCCCTGTTCTTGTGGTTTTGGATGTGTTCCAGTCAAATAATTATGCTGTAACATTCTCACTTCTGTGTTTCTCTAGCAAACATGAGAAAAATAGTGAAGAAAATATCGTTATTAGACTGTAAATGCAAGAAATTTCATTTTTAAATTTAAGCTTTTTCAGCTTTTTTTCAGCATGATAGGAGTGCTTGAACACAAAATTCAAAACAAATCTCTTTTTTATCATACTTTGCATGTAAGTGCTGGCTCAGTGTGTAGATCACTGGATGCACTGACCTGAATTATTACCTGAATTATTTGTTTTCTTATTAAAACCACAGAGGTTTGAAGTGTCTAGGCATATAACATTTGAGACTGCCTGTTCCGGGCCTGTTGTGTGGATTCAAGAAAAGTAAAGCAATGCAAAGAGAGAAACAATTAAAAAATAACCAGACAAGTAGGTGCATGTAGGTACTAGTAATATGCCATAAGGACATTATAAGTTTTGCTTTGTAGTTAACACTTTCACTCCCTGTGTTTTCATGTTTTCCCTCCTGATACAGTATATGTACAACTTCTATTGTTCATGTAAAAATAATACAAACGAGAAGACATTTCTGTGGGAAATCAGAAGATAACTATATATATATTTTTTTATAAGAAAAGTTAATATTGAAGTAGGAGATACATAAATTATAACCCAATCTCCTTTTATGTTATTAGCATTAAATATATAATATTTGTAAAATGAAGCACAGACTGATTTTGGGGAGTACAGTAATTCACATTCTGTCATGAGTTTCAGGATTTTCTAGTGTAAATTTAATGATCAGACCGTTAGTCAATTTGCCATTTACTGAGCTTTAGGTTGTTCTTGTCAGTTTTCACTATGTTGAAAAATGGGTCACCAACTGTGCAGTATGTGAAGTCCATGATCCTTTCAGATCTCTCTATATGAAACCAAGGATTTTTTAATTACTATTTTTATAAGTAGACATTACTTTCCCATCTTCTATTTTGAGTGAACTGAATAGAAATAAAACAAAAACTATTTTCCCATATTAATTTCCCTCTTTTTAAAACAAGCTGTTTTCCCTACAATTACAGTCTCTGACTTACAAAGGATAATGAACACAAAGTTCTGAGGGCTTCCTGGAATTGTGCTCTGGGTCAAAACTATTATGTTTCAGTTAAGTACACCTTTTTCATGCAGGAAAAAAGTGAAATTATATTGGGCCCACTCATTTAAAAACAAAGCCCTCATAACTTTCAAATCTATAGTAAATAATATGTTTTTCTAGAAATGTTATTGACTTTATAAAACGTTACAGAATTGTAGAAATGTAGACCAGTATAAAAAAATACCTGGCCAGTTATTATATGTGTTCCAGTGTTACATATTTTATCCAGTCTCTAATTTGAAACTAAAAGTGAATAAGATAGCTTGTGTGAGGGATTAACAACATTTTTCAAACGTTAAAAGTATTAAAAACTTTTAAATTCAACTTATGGACCGTACCGTATACAACTTAATTAAATACTCTACTTGGCAAATATAGGGATATCTTATATGTGTAGAATACAGTTACATATATTTTACATAGCATCGGAGGCTGCTTGCGCTTCTAGATGTTTTTCTGAACTTTGTTAGGGGCTCTCTATTCAAAGGATGTAACATAATAATTGTATTAACATCTCAAATATATAGTTACTGTATAAAGTAACACAGTAATGTATGTACTGTATACTGATTTACAAGCTGTTTAACCATGATTTTACTAGTGCCAATGGTGTAAGAGCGAGGAGCCCCCCGTATATAAAATAAAACATCTCTATTACTAAATGTAAGAACAATATATCATAGAACATCCAAATGCACTATTACAAGTTAATGTTTTAGCTGTTGTTGATTTATAATCCTAGGTATGAAATTCAGTTTCCTAATATTATGATGCTTCTGATATTGCCAATCTTGAAATACAGTACTCTGTCAATAAAAATGTGTGTAACTGACAAGTATTAAATAAAAATGAATTAAAATACGTAATACGATATATGTATAACTTATTATAACTTAAGTATTTACACCCTTTTCAGTGGTAAAAAATAAAGGGAAGACATTATCAAGTATAAACAGGAAATCTGTACTGTCTCTTTACTATAGTATTGATAGAGTCTGATAGCAGAATCTGTCTGTAACTCTATACCCACATGGTGGTAGGGGCTGTGAAGTCCTGCTGAATTCACATGCTAAACTCTAACCTTCACGCTTGCTTGAGGACAGATGCTTCTCCCTCCCTGTACTGAACTCCCATCTTCTGTACTAAACTTCCTGATGGGGAATGTTTATACTAAACTCACAGAAAAGGAGGGAATGTTTTAAGTGCTTTCTGAGTCCTAGAGTTTCTTGAGAAAGCTACCTTAAAGACAGGAGGGGGAGGGTGTAGAGATAAGTATATACAGTATATAAGCTGTGTAGAGCCATATCCCTGCTTGAGCAATACAACAATAAGCCTCAAATGTGTAGTTCCTTGTATACATAAAATAAAGCTTGGCTTGACAAACAGACACTTCAGGCTCAGGAGGTGTATCAGACAAAAGCCATGCAAATTAAAATCCAGCTGTATAGATGATGTAGTTGACGTACATACAGTATGGGTGGCAGTTCTCAAATATTTCCACAGGATTTCCAAATATTCAAGAGGTCTTAACTGGATCACTCAAGGAAATACATTTTCTTATTTTAAAGCCACTCCACTGTAGCTTTGGATCATTGTCCTTTGTTCTGCAGGAACAGTACTCACTAGGAGATGTGTTGTATTGGATCAGCATTTTGCCATTTAGACCATTCATCCATTTTCTAACCACTTCTTCCAATTGACTGTCACTGGGCAGCTGGAGCAATGGGAGTAAGGTGGTTCTTCTTGGACAGGACATTAATCCATTGCAGGGCAGATGCAGTTTCTCAAGATGCCAATATGCTAGTATGTTTTTGTACTCTGGGAGGAAACCCATAAAACATAAAGAACAAAAACTCCATGCAGATAGCACCCTCGATCTAGAATTGAACCCAGGGCCCCAGCTCTGTGAGGCAGCAATGCTAAACATTTCCAGTTTCATTTCACCTGACCACAAAACCCTCAGTCATTTTTTACAGAATCAGTAGGGTGCTTTATTGCAAACCCAATGTGGGATTTGATTTTTTTTTTCAGTTCCATATAGGTTTCATTTATGTGGTGAACTGTATATTGCTGACCCATGGACATTTTCTCCCATCTCAGCCAGTAAACTCTGGAACCTTCTCAAAGTTGGCATTAACCTCATAATTGCTTCCCAAAGCACTCTTCTCTGTGCTCTCCTTTGTGCCCAGGCAGAGTTATCCCAGAGTTGGTTAGATAGTTGAATCTTTGCATGAAATCGACTACCTGACAGAGTGATCATACAGAGACAGGTGTGTTCTGTATTCACGTGAATATGAGAGCACTGCTAATGCTCTCATACAAAGTTCAAATAATTGTTGTGGCTTGTAAAGGTAATTGTACACCTAAATTAATTTAGGTTTTTCACAACAAAAGATTTGAACAATTATGCAATCATCGCATTTTCATTTCTCTTTCATATTAATTATCTATTTACTTATTTCTTTGTTTTTTTGTTTTTTAAAAGTATGGAGTAGATTGTGTATATAACAAGTACTACTTGTTACTTCAAAGTAAAGTTGACTGCAAGCTTTAAAAGAAAAAAAAACAATAAAGCCGGGAAAGGGCCGAAAGCATTTCCAAAAAAAAAGGAAAAAGCCCCCAAAAGAAAAAAAACAAAGAACCTCAAAGGGCAAAATAAAAAACCCAAAAAAAAATAAAATTTTTTCCTTCTTTATGCTTAGTTTTAAAACCCAGGCTGGAATAGAACATTACAGGTAAACAATCATATTGCATCACAATATGCTCACAATAATTATATCAATATAATTTTATATAGGTTACACAGAGCCTGTACAAAACACTACAATTTAATAATGCAAAGGAAGAGAGGTTTAAAAAGCAATCACAGTCCCAAATTCTCAGACCAGTTATCACATCTCAGTAACAAAATAAACCCGACACTGAACATACTGTACCTGAAAATTTATTTTGTGATGTAAATTGGAGGTTTTACAAGTTACTGTGTACATTTTACTTTTATTGTGGTGAGAAATGCTCTCATTAATGCTGATTCTTTCTAACATTGAAATATAAAAATATTATTGTGGTTTCCCTTTAAAACAGAAAGCCCTGAAAATGTGGACTGAATGCCTATAGAGTATTATTGGAAAATGCATTCAGACATGAGCAGAATGTGAATGCACAATAAAGTAGTGTCTCAAAATCAAAAGAAATGACAGATGTGGTTAAAAACAGAAACCATTGAAAGGTATTCTTTATTAGGGAAATATGTGCATGAGATAAAACATATATACCAAGTCTGGCATGTCTTTCTATTCCAAACTGAACAGGACATTTAAATTTGTGAATTGTTTATTATTGTCTGAGTTGCAAGTAACTGGGGAAATTATACAGAAATTTGTACAGTATAGTATGTGTCATATTCTAATCATGCAGTGCTCATAGAAAAGTCCTTTTTAACTTCAATCCCATGTTAAGATTAATTTGCTTGTGTTCACTTACAGTCTAAAGAAAACAGAGTAAAATGGGGTAAGTGTTAAACTTTTTATTTACCTGTGTGAATCAACACTTCTCAGTAAAGTTCCAACAAAACAAAACAAAGACCTACAGGTATACATACAAACCAGTTTCCACAGAACAGATGCTATTTTCTAATTAATGATATTTAGTTACTTTAAATTTTAGTAGTTGCTCACCACTGGTTATGAAATCTGCTTTTCCCTGATATTCCTGAGGCAATTCAAATCATAATTTGAACTATTAAACTATTTTCAGGATTTCATTATTTGCCAGTATTAGTTTACCAGAGGTTGCAATGTTGCAACTGGCTATCTGCACATCTATCCAAAATCATCATAGATAAGGAATAACCACATCTTATTTAGGATAACCAGAAATATTGAGACTCTTCTCAAAATGTCCAACAAAGTCTCAAAAAGTACCGTTCCTTCAGTTGTTGGTCTGTCTTCCTCCCAGTGAGTGGTGCACACTCAAGGATTCAGTATACTGCTCCCCTCAACAGTGACCATGCACTCTCCCAGACTGACCCAGGAAGCCTTTGTTTTAAACAGTCACCTAAACAGTTGACTTCCCGCAACAGGTCAGATGGCTGAGAGAAGCAGCTCATTCTCCCATTGGAATCTGGTTAATGTGGTCCCTGCAAGGCTTTGCTCTCGCAAAGAATAATAGTTTAATTAAAAGTGCATTTGTAAGACATTCGAATGCTGGATCTAAATTTCTTTGACACATTAAAAATAGACAGTGTAGCTCTGGAAGTGTATGTATGTACTGTATGAATGTCCTGCAATGACTGAAAAAAAACATATAGTACCTGATTAGATTTAAGGAAAGTTATTGTACAGACATTAGTTCAGTAGATTATTTAGTTCTTTACACTTCTTTACCCCTTTTTAAGATATATTTCTTGGTTGCCTTTTAGTGAACTGTAGAATTTCTTCAGGTACGAGCTGCATCAGTGTGCGTAGTCTGCAAAGGAACAAGTAATAGGTTTATTCCATGCTGAAAAGAGAAGAAAGAAAAGACAACGTTTCGGCTGTGAAGCCTTCTTCAGGTGTCACACCTGAGGAAGGCTTCACAGCCGAAATGTTGTCTTCTCTCTCTTCTCTTTTCAGTGTTGAATTTCTTGATAGAAAAATGCTGTTATTCATAAAAAAAATTACATTACCCTTCAGTCTGTTTATCAACGAAAACTGTCAAACTGAGTTATGGGCAGTTTGGCCTGTTTTTTTTTTCTTTTTTCATTTTTATGAAATCCCAGGTAAGTACTTGTAAAAGAATACCAAGTTCACAAGTGAAACATCACAGGGCCAAACTGTGGTTCTCATCACAAGCAGCATTGTATATATCCTATGGCGACAGCTGTTTATTACGGTATGTTGCTTTGTAATACTGCCTTTCAGTAATCAAAATAAAGTTTAATTAAAACGCATATTTCATGCTAATTTTGTGTCTCAAGGGCAATAACTCTTTTAATTATATTTCCAGTGCCCAATGTTGATGGGCCCATACTCTAATGAGCTCCTGCAAATATAAAGTATTTTTATGTATTGTAAATCCAAGCTGAACAAGACAATAAGGTCAGAATTAATCATTTAAGTAGATGCATAACCATGTGGTCCATTAAGTAATGGAGGGCTCATTTGGAATGAAACCTAAATGTTAATTGGTGATTCAGTGTGTGGACAAGACTGAACCAAAAATCTGAATTTGGAAGATGATTTTAATTCAATAAGGCGCAAATTACTTTGAACTATCTGTCTCAGAATTGAGCTTCTCTAGTCCTCAGGAGCCAAAATCTGGCAGGCTGTACAGGTAGTGATTCTGCAGTTCATGATGAATTAAAATGGGTGAAGTGTTGAAAATAATCAACTTTGTTTGTTCTGTTAAGTCATTCTAATCAATGCAAACCAGAGGAGCTTCCTGCCATTAAGCTCGGGAGCTGCTAATCTCAAATCATAAAAGCAGTATGACAAAGTTGCTATTGGTACATTAGACCTCATGGGTCATGCTTTAGACTGGAACTTCTTAAGAAGGGAAGTGGAAGTATCAAAAATAAAACACAGCAACATAAAAAACATCAACTATCATCAACTAACAAACATCAACTATCAGCTAAACATGGAAAAAAACATCTATTTCTTCATAAACGTATATTTAATCATTGTAGTTCAGGTGGGTAGCTGCGTAGGCTGCAAAGGAACAATTAATAGGTTTATTCCATGCTGAAAAAAACGAAGAAAGAGAACACAACGTTTCGGCCGTGGAGCCTTCTTCAGGTGTGATCATTGGATGTGTTATCGAGAAGCTCAAATGCTTTATCTTTTCAGCGGTACTCAAGTGAAAATAATGAAATACCAACCTCAAAATGGAGTGTGGAAAGAATATGAAAAAATACTTGATAATTTTAAAGATCATGGAAACACTTTCAATGCAGCTGTAGATGGAAGTAATCGTGGAGGTCATTTTCACAGCACACTGGACGAAGCAAAGAGATGTGCAAGATCCAGATCAGTGAGTCTTATGTTCCAGCTTTGTATGTGTCTTGCTTAACTGCTCACAAAAATGAAGATATGTAACTGGTATTCTAGAGCTGACCTTCTACCTTTGTTTGTGGTAACACCTACTAAACACCTCCACAAGCTGGTCTTGTATGGCTGATTGCAGTATGTTGCTAGATGTCCTCTAGCTAACTGTTTGTTCTTTCCTGAAGTCACATTCCTGGAATCTCTTGCAATATCTAAAAGTTCTTGTCTTATCACCTGACCAGATTTTCACATCTTCTAGCTTTCTTTTAATTCCAGCAGACAGTCTTGTTGTTTTGGTCACATCTAGAACATCTTTGGTCTTGAACGTCACCTTCAGCAACTGATTATACAGTAGAAGCAAATTCTGAGGGTTTCACTCCTAAAAGTCAATGAAAATCTGACAACAGACATGACAACACAATCATTTTATCAATGTGTGGGTGTCGGCAAGTATTCTATCATTTAATCCTGCAAGCATTTTTACTGTCACAGAATCAAAGATGTTCCTGATCAGGACCCTCTCTTTACAAGTAACATTGATTTCATTAATTAATTTTTTAAAATCCATAGCTGATATGACTGAGAGTTTTGATCAATAGCACATTTGTTCAATAACACCATTGAAGTGTTTATTCCTGAATTGAAGCACCAATGTGATGGTCTAATATCTTATCTGGCTCTTTACTGGGCCCAGCTCTTCCTTAGCTAACGAATTTTATCACTGGTGAGATTCTTAAACATGTCATATACCATATTTGTATGAACATAAGGCTTCAAAAGTTTGATCCATTCATATGCAGTAAATGATCTTTGGAGAAAAGGAGAAATGACCAAAAACAAATAAAATCTGTTTCCTTTCTAGGGAGCTTTTGCAATCCGATTCTTAGAAGGAAATTGGAAAGATGAATATGGTTGTTGTTATTAGATTAGATGATGAAGGTAAGGTGTATACTGTATATAAGTCATGTAAGTAAGCACTACCCTCTGTAGATCACCTAATAAATATATTATAATAGAATATATTATAACAAATTTCCCTTTGGATTTTATGTTCAATATTATTTTACATGATTATTCATATTTAGTTTTATAAAAAAACAGATAAATGTTTCAGACTAGCAAAATTACTTTTATACTTTAAAAATAAAATAGAATCATTCTAAACAATATTTTTAAAAATACACTTGAAGTGCAAGGGTTTTTACTTTTTTAAATAAAATAATTCCAATAATTTAATTCCAATAATTTTATAATTAAAAACTAAAAATATAGTTTAGCATAAAATGTTTCAGATATAGTGCCTTCTCTAGGTATTCTATCATCTTCTTTTTAATATTTTTTTTACGTTGATGTATTAGTAAATACCATTGTTGAAAACAAGAGGTGCCAATAAATCTGTCTTAACACTCTTCCATTTTCTAAAACCGTCCAATTCATGGTCGGGGGAGCTGGAGCCTATTCTGGCAAGGAAGGCAGGATAAACCCTTGGAGAGGATGCCAGTCCATCACAGGGCACACACAAACACATTCACTCACACCAGGACCACTTTTTCCTAGAGGTCAATTAACCCACCAGTATGTCTATGGATTGTGAAAGAAAAACACAGCACCTGAAGATAACCAACATGAACACAGGGATTACATACAAACGTCACACAGATATCACCTCACGTCTAGAATTGAACCCAGAACATCCACACTGGGCCAGCACCCAGCTCTGAAGCTAAGCAGGGTTAAGCCTGGTCAGCACCTGGATATGAGACCTCCTAGGAAGCTTGTTGCTTACTGGATAGGCTCCAGTTTCCTGTGACACTGTATGGTATGAAGTGGTTTGGCAAATTACATGACATGACATCCACACTGCAAGGCAGTGATGCTAACAACTGTGCCACCATACCACCCATTTATCTTAATATAAAACTATCTTCCAATGTAGTTTAACAGAAAAATAGAACAAAGTTAAAAAGGAACATAAACTTTACTGAATTACTGAATAAAATATTAAAGTAATCTGAATAAACACTCTTGAGTTTTATTTTCAATGGTGTGTTATGGATTTGTTTAAAGAATATCATTATTAAAGAATGTGTTTCACAATAGTGAATTTTTTTGTAAATAATGACAGTGTATATAAATCAGTTTCTTTAATGTTCTTTAATTTTTTCTTAACTTGAACTATGTAAAGGAGTCATTAAAGAGAAGCTGAAAATGATTTAAATTAATGAAATGTTGAAGATTGAACTTTTCAGTCCAATGAAAAAAGTATTTTCTATTAACAATAATTTAAAATGTATTTTCTTCTTATTTCACAGGGAGAAAATATGCTTGATGTCAACAGAACCTTTACCACGACTTTGGACCACTCTGTGTGCTTTTTTAATAGACAAAACAAGACAATCAAAAATGATTTAATTTTATGAGGGGTCCTACAATTCAGCTTTGATGCAATTGTACAAATGTTAAATACAAAACTTTAACATTTATGTAACAATAATTTCATTAAAAGACCATGCCAGCATGTTTTTTAAATCGTGTGTTTCATTCTGCATCCCGATGTTGTGGAACTATATTTTTTAACACCTTGGAATAAAGACTAAATTATAATGTATTTCTAGCATGATCACACATAAGGAGGTTTGATTAATGCAAACACATTAAATACTAAACAAGACTATACATGTTCAATTTCTCCTGAAGTGGCACAAGGACAAATTAGTGACAAAGGGCTTTCTGAAGAATTTGACAATATGACATATACAGTATTCTAATCTAATATAACTGAATGATAAGAAGAAGAAAATAACTGGTATATTAATAATCATAATCATAATATCTTGCATTTGTATATCCACTTCATCTACCTCCTTAGTTCAAAACCCACCTGGGCGATGTAAAGCAACCTTTCTGGACATGATATATATATTGTAAGGTTGCCAGTGCTGGGTTATAGAGGGGAAATATTGCCCAAAGAAAGAAAACTGGTATTGTGTGAATTTGTAGGGTTTTGGACAGTTATACAGATTTGAATATTGGGTTGTGGACATTTGTGTGGTGTAGTTAGTGAATTGTTTTGAACTAACAAGCAGTTTAGAATCCAGATCTAATCGACAAAGTTTCTTATAGTTAAAGCTGGTGAGACAACTCAAAGAGGAGCTTAGGTTTTTTTGGTGTTTTGTTTAGTTTGATACAGACATGCGAAGAAACACAATACTTAATATTTTAGTATAGTGACCTAGATTCAGTGCTAAACAAAAACAAAAATGTGTGCACAAAAAAATGGCATAACACAAACAAAAAGGAAAGCACAAATAAAAAAGACTGCCCAACAAATTACACAATACAAACAGAAATTAGTGCACAAGCAAAAAAGAGTGCACAAATAAAAATGTTTTCACAATGGAAATTGACATTGTTCTAAAAATGGACATCTGTTGCAAGGTGAATGGGCATCACTAAGTGGAGTGCACATTTTGAGTCCATGATGAGATGTTTTTGTGAATTTTCTAAAACTTTAAAAAACACCACAACAGTAGGATGCTCTGCTTGTTTTGTGGAGGCCAGTTTGGTGAAAACCATTCTTTTTGCCCTCACTGTGCAAATCTATAGGACTTCTGTAAATCTTTAAGGAGACATAACCTAGGACAATTTTTACATATTGTAATACTGTATATCACAAAGCTACTGTATAGCTACATACATTTCCCTAATGTCTGCTTACAGGTGTTGTTAATGGAAACAGCCTTGGCAAAGTTGACTTACTGAAGAAGTATTTCAGTAAAGTTTGTACGTATATATTGAATTTTCTGCAAACATTTGATAGCATATCGATGAGTCTGAGGAGTTTGAAAGGTCACTTTGAACACTGTTTAAAAAAGGGGGCAATTACACACCCCTGCAAGTGGTGTGCAGTGAAATTAATATGGAGGTGAGAGGACCAGAGTGGTTATTCAACTGCATGTCAATGTTTTAACTTCTAAAGGAAAAATACTGTTAAAAGTCAGAAGAGATGATGTGATGCATCTGTTATCACATACAGATGCAGCCATTTAAAGTGCGCGGTACAGACACGTACCGGAGGTAACTGGCTACGGCGTCGCGCATTTTGACGCAAGATGACGCGCGGTACCGCGGTACGTGATTGGTTG